AGATAGATATACGTCTGTATTTTCGTAACCATTATTTTGTTAAGTTTTTGATTTAATTTTATCAATAGTTGAGCTGCTCGTCGCAACCCCAATAATATGAAAACTTATCAAAAAAATGTAAAATAAAACAGAAAATGTCGTGAAAACCTTTGAAGATTGTGGACCTGCAAGATGCGCCAACAAAATGTTAATGTGTTAAAACAGTTCATATATATTAAGTCCCCATTATACGCATTTAATTTGGGCATCAAACGTTCAATTTGTGTTCAAAAAGATAGGTCTCTTCATATCGTTTTTTTTTTGCTTACCCAAAAATACAAGGGGAAGTAAAAGCTTTCGTGCGTATGTCACTGACTTAAAAATCATTCGCTTCTAAAACCCAAATAATTTTTTCAGTCGTCAAATTTGAGAATGATTTGCAAAAATATAGCTACAAAACAAGACTCTACCAATCAAAATTCTACGATTTTTTCTGATCGAAATATACCAAAATGGCAACACTCATTCTGAATTTGTTTGAAGAGCAATAAAACAATATATAAGAGATAGACATACACATGTACATTCATACACTTGAACATCTGTACTTGAAATAGACACCCTCACAAATTTAAGAAAAAAAATTGACGCGTATGTACATTTATTATTGAATATTGTGTTTATATAAAAAACCAAGTGGACATGTGCTTTACAATCATTGATGTAGTTCTTAGAAAACGTAAATTTTTTTCATTTTCCAGATTATCGTTAATTTATTTTAAGTCTTTCATTCTTATTTAAAATGTTCAGTCATCTGTTATTGAGAATTTTGAATTTTTCATATGGCTGATCATAATTCAAATAAATTGCCAGATTTCCATTTAAAAATTTAACTAAGGCGCCGAAGATTTTTTTTCAATAACATTAAATAAAAACCAGTAAGGAATGCTCAAAAGTCGGGCGGGGCAGACTATATGATACCCTACACCACTATGCATATTTAGTAGATCTCTCGTAAAATAAAGGTTTATATTGGGCATTTCTGAGCTCTCACAGGTATCTGGTACAAAATACGATTATGGTAGAGTGCATATTCCGAAAATTGAAAATTTAAACACCAAATCGGATGAAACATATATATGGGAGCAATAGCTATATCTGAAACGATTTTCACCTAATTTTAAGTATTTACTTCTTGAATGATTTCGCTTGGAAGTGCAACATTTCACTCACTTTGGGCTGATATTAGCCATTTGGTGCACAAGAAACCTAAAATCGGACGAAGATATATAGGGGGGCTATATCCAAATCTGAACCGATCTTGATAAAATTTGAATCATGTATTGCTGGGCTGAATCTAATATCTGGTAGTAAATATCATTTTTGTGGGGTGTATATTACGAATGTGAGGGACTTAAACATTTGATAACGTTTGATCTAAGAATTGCAAGGCTGTATCTTATATTTGATGCTAAATACCAGTCTTGTGGAGTGCATATAACGAATGTAAGGAACTTAAACCACAAAATCAGATGAAACATGTAAATGGGAGCTATAGCTATATCTAAAACCGATTTTCACCAAATTTGAAGCACATGCTTGTATGCTGAATTCGGTCGGATATAGCAAAATTCACATAATCTGGACTGATATTAGCCATTTGGTGCACAAGAAACCTAAAGTCTGATAAAGATACATATGGGAGCTATATCTAAATTTGGACCGATTTTCACCAATTTCAATAGGGTTTGTCCTTGAGCCAAAAAATAAAAATAAATAAGTGTGCGGACAAGAGACAACTGAATATATATAAAACAAAATTAAAATGAAGCTGATCATCTGAAAAATCAAAAAACTAATTAAACAATGAAAAAAATCGGTCAATGGCATCCCTTGGAAGAGCGACACTATAAATTACAGGCGTATTATATGTATTGTGAAATTATCTGCATCGAACGAACTATTCCTTAAGAGTGATAACTATACCGTAAGAGGGATATTGAAAAGCGGAACTAAGTCGAAAAAAGGATAAAGATACAATAAGTATGAAAAAAGGGGATTTCCCAACTCAACGATTTATAAAATATAATGACTCTCGGCTCTTGTACAATTTTGTTTTGTATTTTTTATCCCAGAGACAAATACCTCAAATTTGGTGAAAATCAGTTCAGATAAAGCAGTAGCTCTCATATAAATCTGCCAAATTTTTTCGAAATTGGTTAAGACTGGGTATTTTTTCATCCGAATTTTTCCATTTGGTTGAACTCGTCTACGATATTTTTTCTACTATCTATCTACTTCCTACAAATTCCCAATATAAACGTTAGATAAAAATTAAACGGGAATTATAACTTACTTGCTGAATCCCGGTGCGCTTCGCTACCCCTTTTGATTTTATATGCATTGAAAATTTTATATACGAATATTTGTTGGTTTAAAAAGAATAATACAAATACAAAAATTAAAAAACGTAATTATTGTAATACTTTAATGCGTAAACAGCCAAATAGCTCGGTCTACCAACGCGTGAACATGCCAGGCACACCTGGCCATGAAGAAAGCTGGAACATGCCAAGGACAAACTCTTCGTGTATGCGGACTAAATACACGAAGAGTTTGTCCTTCGAATTTATTAATTTCATAGTTTAATTTATTTTTAATTATTAATTTAGAAGTTGAAGTGGAATTTCTGTTGCAATTTGTGAATTCGAGGTTGCAACATACTTCCCCGTAATAATCGTATCCTCAATAAAATTGTTGTGTAGTTTTTTACTGTTAGCCTAATACCATTGCAAAGGCTTTCTGGGTCAATGCTTCTTAATAAAATCATATTCCAAATCTGAACCGATTTCAATATAATTTGACAAATTTATTTTTGTTCCCAATTCCGTTACTCATTCCAAATTTCATTGAAATTAGAGATACATAGGGTGTTTGGTGCAACAAATACATGAAATCGGCCGAAAATGTATATGTATTTCAATATTATTACGCAACCACATTTTTTAGACAAATTCCATCAAACGCTTCATATTGCGGCGTACCCAGCGTGTTTAATGCATCAATAACATGAAATCGGTCGAAAACATATGTGGGAGCTATATCCAAATCTGAACCGATTTCAATATAATTAAGCAAATTTAACTCTGTTCCAAATTCCATTACGTATTCCAATTTTGGAGACTGTATCATATAATATCTAAATTTTTGGGAGATACCTCCGATTCTGATGCTATATCTCCAGTTTCAAGTGGAATTTCAAAAATTTATATGGACTATGTTACTTTCAGCGATGTTGTAGTATACTTGGAAATTTTCAGGAAAATCTGTGCAGCGCTTTTCGAGTCCATATATTACAAACAAACATACAAACATTTTCCCCTTTATATAGAAAGAAGAAATAGCGAACTTCAAATATCAAATGTCTGACAATTCCATCGAAGTTGTGAAATTGTTCTCCATATTTTAAACTATACACAAATTTGAAATTTTCTAGAATTTTTTCCCAGAGAAATTAAGAGTTTCACATATTGAATTCCAGACATTTCTATTAAAAAGTCTGATTGAAATCATAAAAATATAGAAAATCCTAAGATAATTTTTTTTGCCGAGTTCCCTTTACAAACTTCAAATGCAAATTTTTTAATAAATTTCACATAAAACATGACGTTAATCATCAAAATTCCGAATATCGGGGGGTAATATATGCGGTCGTACGAAAATGTAAGCCTATAGATCCGATATATTTTTATACCCTCCCACCTTGAAAAGGATGTACTACCTTTGTCATTCCGTATGTAACATCCCTAAATGTTCATCGTAGACCCCATACGGTACATATATTCATGATCATAAGGGTGATCATATACAGGGTGAGATGAAAAAACTGGAACAAAATTAAGACTGCCACTCGTCCGACAGCTGTTAAAATTATTCCAGTGACAGTTCATTATATTGTTTACAAGCGTTCAAAAGCATTCTGGTGAGAATTTTCCAGAAAATAGTTATTTGTGATGGAATGTGTGATTTCTTTTTATTTGGCTGGAAAACCACAAGTGGCTATCGTTAGAACACTCCAGTATTTAAATATGAATAAATATTTTGTGTCTCCTACCATCGCTCGTTACCGTGATACTGGTAGTCGAATAGGCCAAAATACCGCAGAGCAACATTCGGGCAGCGTGCGACGGTTTCATTGGCCGTTTGAAGGCCATAATTCGTGTCAAAGGTGTCCAATTCGAACAAATCTAAACTTATTCTAAAAATTGATGCTATTTCCGACATTTTTGGTTTAATTTTATTGGCGTTTAATTTTGTGCAGTTGTTTTATCTCACCCTGTATTTTTATATGAGTTATTTTCCAAATGGTAAAGTCTATAAAAGGTCGGCCAATTCGAAAATGTTGACCTTTTATGGGGGAGATAAAAGAAGGAATGAGCCAAACTTGTTAATTTTAACACTTGACCTAAGCCGCATCTAAACATTACGTTGTGCCAAATTTATCGCAAACTTGTTGAACTCTTGTGAGGGAGGGGCCAAGAGGAGTGGTGCGATATTGCCCATATCCGAGGTGGATCTAAGTTTGGGAAAAAATTAAGATGGTCCAAGTTTGAAACAAATCGAAAACTCACTTCGAGGTTTATAGTGCACATGAACCGGTCAGAAAGAATATCTGATTTCCTCCGAAGGATCGTAGTAGGTAGTAATTCAATCTTTATTACAACATTTTCCTTACATTGTTTCAGCTATGACCCTGATTTTGGAATGCCTTCAACCGATTTAGTTGAACGTAACTTTGCTTATATCTGCGTAGTAGAGATTCGGGTCGCTCCTTGTTTTTATTTATCCATGGAGATTTCATATCTTGCTTTTTTGTAGCTCACTGCAGTCGTCAAAATATCATAAATTTTATTTTTCATGGGGTGGAATTTTCGCTAATAATTTTATTTCGTTAAAATATTTCTCCCCTTCAAAGACGTAGACGAAATGAGAATTTCAAAAATTCAAAGATTTTTACTTACTTCAAACTTTCAGCTTTTAAATCGTTTTGTTGATTTGACTTGTGTGCCATATTAAACTGTGGCATTTCGGTGACATCTTCGATTATTTCAATTGTTGCCTTGCCACTGCCAACAACACTGTCGTCAACACTTTGCTTCCTTGGCGACGAACGGCCGCTGCCACTGCCCTCCACATGTATGGGTATGAAGTGAACATTGCCCATGGCATTACCGGTGGCGCCATTAATATTAATAATATCGCGTTCCTCACCTGAAGCTGCGTCTGAGGAAGCATTATTCGATGAGGATGCACCGCCACCACCGACGCTGCTGCTGTGCGACGATGATGTATTGCCACAAGAGTTTGTTGACTCGACAACAACATCTGGTAGGCTAATGCTTTCGATGCACACCAAACGTTCGGAGGGATCGAGAAATTCAGTTGTTGTGTCAACAAAATCAATTAATTCTTCGCAATGTGTTAGAGTTTCGTCGCAGTCGGTGGAGTCGGTGCCATCTCGAACAAAATGTTGCTGGTGTTTCATATAGTGTTGTTGCTGTTGTTGTTGTTGTTGTGACTGCATGGAGGGAGTGGTGTAACTGCGACCATTTGACGATGCAATCGATTCACCCATACCCGAATCGGGATAGCTGGTGCTCAAATTAGAATCTGTACTATTATTGCTGTGATTTATTTCAATGCTTCTGGCGTACTGCTGGCGATCTGGACTGAGCGATGCCGAGTTCTTGCGCTGAAGAAATTCATTGTCAAGGTTGTGGTTGTTGTTGTGATGTGATAATGTTGTTGCAAATGTGGCATTTGTTTTTACGTTGTTCTGTTGTGTTTTATGTTTTGCTGTCGCACCTTCATCGGTTTCATTGCCCTCATCCGTGTCATCGTCATCATCGATGTCTTCCTCATATTCCTCTTCCTCTTGTTCGGGTACATCTTCTAGTTTCACATAATTATAACGCATTTGCGAGTACATTGACGTTGGCGAAGGCGACCGATGATACGATGATGTTGAACTTGAGGCTGGTGAAGATAATGATGCCGTACTGTGGCCCTCCATTTGGCCAGCGGATTCTTTGTTTGTTCCAGACATTGTGTTGTTGCTGTGATCATTGAACTCTTGCTTTGCCTGTCCAACATGATCATAATATTCCCTGCCGCCATTGTCACACCTCTGCGAGTACGCAGACTGTGTGGGATTGGGGTACAGAGGTGTACTGGTGTTGGTGGTAGCGGTACTACAATCCGACACGGTTATGGTTGGTAAACCGGGCGATTGTAGCCGTGCATTTCCGGTATTTTCGGCTGGTATAGATGATTCGCGAAATTCCCGTAAATGTGCGGAACTTGACGATGGTGACATTTCGCCACCTTTGGTATTCTTTTGACCCATTGTTATTGTTGCTGTGGTTATTAAAATATCGCGATCTTGATCACATACCGTCGTTACTTGGCTCAATGGACCATCACGATTGTCCGCTAAACGTTGATCGTTATTCTTCGGCGTTACTTGTGCGATCACACTAACGCTATGCTCGATGACCGGAGAACGATTAATGTAACAATTCTCATTGCTGTTGTTATTACTCAAATCCTGCTCACTGCTCTCATACTCTTCTCTTGGCTGAAGAGATGATGATGCTTGTCCATTTGCTGCTACTCGCGATTGTGTCGTTTCCGTGGGCAGACAGCGATCAGTTGGGGAGATCTCTTGCTCTCCGGCTGAATTACTTTCGTCTGGTTGCTGAGTAGGAAGAGTAGTGTTGTTCCTTTTGTTTTGGCTGAAATCCGTATGGCTATTATTAGACATAGTCATTTGATAAGTGTGTGTAGTGGTGGAGGGGTCGCCGTTCATTTCAAGGTGTGTTTTTATGGCAATTCCATCACCATTGCCGGCAGGGGAAGGGATGGCATTGGCAGCGACATCATTACTATGATCATCATCAGCATTGGCATCATTATTATCGTGATTTTCATAATTATTACTTTTATTATTATTATTTTGGCCATAACTTTCAGAATTTGTGGAGGGCGTATGGGGTTGATCTAAATTGTGCTGGCTGCCGGGGCCGCCACCAACGCCGACTACCACTTCTTCTTCATTGTTGCCGCTGTTGTATTCTTGATAGATGACGGCAACAGGTGCATCGGAGGCATTTGTTGATAGCATTTGCTGCATTTGGCAGCCTGAAAGCTGAGGGTGCTGCTGCTGTTGTTGATAAATGAAATGCTTCTGTAGACTCTGCTTCTGTTGATGGTGGTGGTGCTGCTGCTGCTGCTGAGTACTTTGATTCTGTTGATTTCGATTGCGATTGTGATTACGTCCACGCGCCATATATACGTAATATTTTCCTTTCTATAATTACTTCCTGCACTTTTTTCTCTTTTTTATTTTCCTTCGTTATTTTTTTTTTCTTTTTTTTTTTAATTCAATTTTTTTTTCGATGGAATTTTCCCAAAATAAATAAGTTTTCACTCATTAACACACATATCACTTTTAATTTATTTCGATGCAAAATGACACTGAACAATACTTGAATAATTATTATATATTCTTTTTGTTGCTGTTGCAAACATTTTGGCATTCATAGCTGGCCCAAGGTTAACTTTTTCGAATTCCAATAGTTTCACATAATTTCACTTTCACCTTCACAACACATGCTTTTTTTGCTTGGTGTAGTTGCTGTCGTTTTTTTTGTTGGTTTTCATGTACTAACAAAAGCCCTAAACGGCCATAATCCCAGCAATGTCTGCCTCTTGGTCTATTCTTTATATGCAAAAAATGTTTTGGGGGATTGGGTCTGTATTGCCTAAATATTATTTGTCGACTGCATCGTGAAAAGAGATTGTGGTTCATGAAAGTCGTTCATCTATCTTTAGACTCTTCTTCTTCTTGTATATTTCGAATTTCTTTAGCAGGTATTTTTTATAATTTTGTTTTTATTTCGTTGCTTTTGTTTTTTTTTTGTTATTCACTTCGTTAATGGATCATTGATTCACTTCGATTTGTTTTAGGTTCTGTTTTTATTTTGTTTTAATGTTTTGGCAATTAACTTTAGTTTTAGTATTTTTCTAGTAATTCACAACAACCGAAAAAATACTATAATTATTCAAAGTTCGCCAATTAGTTGAATAAATACAACAACAAAAATTTAGTAGAACCACAAAACACTTAGAATTTGTCTGCCACTGCTATTCCATTCGGCCTGTTCGTTTCGACTATACTGTTTGGTATTATAAAACATTGCCAGCATTAATCTTAGAAGTGTTTATTTAGATAAATACCCAGCAAACAAAAACAAACAAACTTATATGTAAATTTAATATTTGAATAGTATACAAATGAGAATTTGAAAACAATATTTTCTACTCCAACTTCTGAGACTTCACATTGGTATAAAGAACATATAAAACTAGCTGGCCCGGTCCGAATTGCCGGTCCGTACTTTTAGTCTTTAATGCATATTTCTTAAAGCATAATAAATCACAGATCTGACTTATGTAAGAAGCACAATTTTTATTATAAGTAATGACTCCATAGTAATTTCTAAATAGAAAGATATAATCATGGCAAACATTTTAATAGATACTCACCTACAGTCGGTTTATATATTTTGAATAGCCTAATGTTATTTTTCAGCCATAGACTTTAATTTGAGTATTTAAAACCTATATGATATAGAACGTCTATAATAGCCCCAGGTGAAAATTTAGCTCAATTTTGGTTTTGTAAAGAGTTTGACAACATTTTCTATTCAAATGAGCTGCAATCCACACCCATTTTTATTTTGCGCTCTAGACCCCATAAAGTCCATATTTATCATCATAGTATAATTCTATGACGATATTCGTAATCATGCCCTACAACACAAGGTGATCAGGGCATTATGTCTTTGTAACAAGCAAAAGGAAACGAGATAGACCCATAGTTCCTTTTAATGATCTGAATAGAATCACATTTTGAGTCGATTTATGCATGTACGTCCGTCTGTCCATGTATTTTTGTGAACAAATTTTGCACAAATCATTTGTTTGGACCAAGGATGAACCCTATTGAAATTGGAGATAATCGGTAAAAATTTAGATATAGCCCCCATATATATTCGTCCGATTTGCTTTTTAATGTGCACCAATCGTGTAATATCAGCCTGAATAATATGGAATTTTGCGCATACAACCAAATTACTTAAAAAAAGTATGCCAAATTTGATCGAAATCGGTTCAGATATAGCTATAGCTCCACTATATATTTTGTTCATCCGATTTGTATTTTAGTCCTCAGCAGCCGTAGTATGCACTCTTTAACAACAATATTTGGGGAAATTTATCAAATACTGCTCAGAAATACCTTTGCTAAATGTTATCGAGATCGGATCGGTGGATATATCTCCCATATGTAACTTCGTCCTATTTACTTTTTATTGTGCACCAAACGTCTAATATTTTCCCAAATAGGATGAAATTGGGCACTTACGACCGAATTGGGCTTAAAAGCTAGTATGCCAAATTTGGTGAAGATCGGTTCAGATATAGCTATAGTTCCCATATATATATATTGTTCATCCGATTTGTAATATTTGTTACCTACAGCCGTAATATGCACACCGTAACTACGATATTAAAGAAAATATATGAAATAGAGCTCAGAAATATATTTGCCAAATTTTATCAAGATCGGTTCAGATTTGGATATAGCTCCCATATATATCAAATGGGCAATACGAGTCCGAATTTAAAAGATACAAATGCTTCGGCATATTTAGTCTTTTGAACTTTAAATTATAATTATAATTATAATCATAGCGTGTATGATTGAATTCTCCCATAAACACAATTGTTATGTGGAGCTCTACTAAATTAGCAAAGAGGTCAAGACCAGGACATAATTCGGTGCTACTCTTCAATGTAACTCGCCTGCAGTTTCAGTTTTCAAGAAATTGTGTCAATTAAATAAAGTTAACCAAATTGGAAGAAAAACGTTCATACATGGTAAAATATTGATTTTCTTTTTTTCGTTGCTTATTATCTTTTGAAGTGATATTATTCGTATACTTCCACTTACACAATAAATACAAAACGACTACAAATCATATTAAAATTCTCCAAAAAAAAAAAAAACACTACAAAAATACATTTCAAAATAGTAAGTCAAGTACAATTTAAAAGTCAAAATTAAAATGTTAAAATGTAACGCGATTTTTTTCGATTATATCCGACAACTCCGAGTTTGTCTGAATCGTTAAAATCAGAGCAGCGTTTCGTGAGTTATAAGCGAACATCCAATTTGTTGTTTTTTTTTTTCATTCTTTACACAATGATTTATTCCAGGGTAATAACTATAAATCTGATCATTAATTCATTAATTAATTAATATGTGGGGTCTGTGGGAGTTTAGATTTTGAGTTCGAAAAAAATGGAGTTGTTCTGATCTGCGCTAGTGCCGAGCTATTATTGTTATACCCTACTACACTGTGCGTTTGGGTTATTATATGTTTGATGTAACAACTCGAAATATTGATTCTGCCACAGGGACAATGATACACGCAATTGACGCAAATATTTTTAATCTCACTTCTGACTTTTTTTATTTCTTGTCATATTTTTCATAGCATGATATTATTTCACTTTGACTTACACTTTGTATACATTTTTCCATCATTATATTCAGGTCGCAATTATAATCCAATCTTTTCGAAATCTTGCATGGAGGTGGGGTTAGGTTCAGAATAGAAACAAATTGTTTTTGAAAATATTCGCAAAATACTTTGTGTTTAAATGGATCAAAAACCTAAGAATTTTCTAAATTTTGCAGTTGCCCTACAGTTCTTGTCTTAAGACCAATAGACATGGAATTGGTTATGATGTTAGAGTTTAGGACAGCGCTGAAGCCTAGCGTTTTGGATTGTTATCAGATAATACTTACCTGGTGAAATGAACCACAAAATTGCGTGAATAAAAACCATAATTACCGAAATCTCAAATTCTTTCCGAGTGAGCGAATTAGGTTTAGACTTTCTAAGAGATCGTGAGACTGCAACCAACTTCAGACTGCTATCATTTCTAAGCCACTTGTCCGACAGCTGTTAAAATTGTTACAGTGACAGCTGATTATATTGTTTACAAGCTCGTTGACTCAAAAGAGCTTCGGGCAGCGTGTGACGGTTTCATTGGCAGTCTGAAGGCCATAATTCGTGCCAAAGGTGACCAGTTCGATCAAATCTAAGCTTATTCAAAAAGTTGATGCTATTTCCGACATTCTTTGCTTTTATTCAATAAAATTGAAAAAAATGAAGTTCGTAATGGGTACTACAGCCTATGACAAAAATGTTTGTATCCAGGTCTTAGTCTTCGTATAGCCCCCAAATAACGGTACCTCCCAGAATTTTATTTCTGAGTTATGTTGCTTACATTGTTTGGTGGGATATTCTTTTGGTCTATGCAAATATTTTTCTGATTATTGCTGAATTAGATTTGCGTTTTGTATCTTTATCTCATTTTGGTTTGTTATTTTTGTGGTTTTGTCTATTATACAAACAAATTTATGTTCATACACTAATGAGCAATATGTCAAGAACACTACAGCAGTTTTTTATAAATGATATTATAAAATGATTAAAAATTATGAAGTTGAAATTCTTCTCGTCTTTGCAAATCTGTTATTTTTTTATAAATTATACACCAAAGTTTATATGTCATTTGGGGACCTGTGAAACAGGTCAAATTAGTTTTCTTTCTTTTATGACTCTTTACTTTGAACTACCTAGAATATTGGTAGATAAAACCGATTTCTAGTTGGATTTTATTCTGGTATAAATATTATGACCGATTTGGACAATATCGAATATTTCCCCTCTTTTTTAAATCTTGAACTTTGTGTGGTAAGTCCCAGAAAGAGTCGACCAATATATGCAATATTATGGATTTATGGTTGATAAAAATAATGAAATACAATAAGTAATTCGGTGACTTGTTTAGCATGCTATGAGACTTGTAAATATTGAACATTTTGACCGCTTGTGGGAAAATATAAGAAGGTTATGCACATTAGATCTTGTGTTGTGGCACGAATTGATATGTAATAATTTCAAAAAATCGAATACTTATTTTGCGTTTTATGAGGGTTATGGGCATTGAAAAGTTTATCCATTTGGAGGTGTATATACCAAAAGAAGTGATCTGGCCTATCTCATCTT